CGAGGCCGCTAGGGGCGGCGACGGGGCCGGGTAGGGGCGGCGACGAGGCCGCTAGGGGCGGCGACGGGGCCGCGGAGGGAGGGGAGCGGCGACGGGGCCGCTATGGGCGGCGACGTGGCCGCGTTGAGGCGGCTACGAGGCCGCGTAGGGGCGGCGACGGGGCCGCGTAGGGAGGGGAGCGGCGACGGGGCCGCTAGGAGCGGCTACGGGGCCGCGTAGGGGCGGCGACGAGGCCGCGTAGGGGCGGCAACGGGGCCGCGTAGGGAGGTCAGCGGCGACGGGGCCGCTAGGGGCGGCGACGGGGCCGCTAGGGGCGGCGACGGGACCGCGTAGGGGCGGCGACGGGGCCGCGTAGGGGCGGCGACGGGGCCGCGTAGGGAGGGGAGCGGCTACGGGGCCGCTAGGGGCGGCGACAGGGCCACGTAGGGGCGGCAACAGGGCCGCGTAGGGGCGGCAACGGGGCCGCGTAGGGAGGTTAGCGGCGACGGGGCCGCTAGGGGCGGCGACGGGGCCGCGTAGGGGCGGCTACGGGGTCGCGTAGGGAGGGGAGCGGCTACGGGGCCGCTAGGGGCGGCGACGGGGCCGCGTAGGGGCGGCTACGGGGCCGCTAGGGGCGGCTACGGGGCCGCGTAGGGGCGGCAACGGGGCCGCGTAGGGCCGGCTACGGGGCCGCGTAGGGAGGGGAGCGGCAACGGGGCCGCTAGGGGCGGCGATGGGGCCGCATAGGGGCGGCTACGGGGCCGCTAGGGGCGGCAACGGGGCCGCGTAGGGGCGGCAACAGGGCCGCGTAGGGGCAGCAATGGGGCCGCGTAGGTAGGGAGGCGGCAACGGGGCCGCTAGGGGCGGCGACGGGGCCGCGTAGGGGCGGTGACGGGGCCGCTAGGGGCCACGAGGGGCCTGGAAGGGCGGCTACGGGGCCGCTAGGGGCGGCGACGGGGCCGCTGAGGGTGGCGCGAGGGGCCGTGAGAGGGGCCTCTAAGAGAGGTCGACAGAAGGGCAGCCCACAAGGCGCGCCTCGGGCAGGAGCGACTGTCGCTTCGGTCTGAAAAAAAAGTTTCAGTGGTGGGCCCAAGTAAGCGTTCCCACTAGGGAACCTGCTCTATACCATGTGAAGAAATGAGGAATGAATGAATGAACTAGCAAGCAGGTGGGTACAAGTAGGAAAACCTAGAAGTGTTGTACCCCATATTGTCTACCCCATTACAGCCTACACAGACTATAGCATATGAGTTTGACACAACGGCTAAGCGTCAGCTGCAGTATTCGTGCGGTTGTGGTATTAACTAAAGTGTGGCTTGCTCCTCCGTCGATAAAAATCTTTACAGCTGCTCCCTGTATTTTCCCGTGGATCAGTACTGGGCAATCCGTCGATGTACTCTCCTTATTCATCCGAGTCCGATCGATAGCATGAATCGGTACTGTGACTCGGTGAGGGTCGGTGGGGTTGGGCGAGCAGGCAGTCTCATCAGTAGTCGGCCCGATTCCTCCTGACTGCTGGCGTTTCCCTGCTTTGGAGACTCCCTCCCTTGCTCTGCTCCGCGGCGCCTTAGCTCCTCTGGTCATTCGCTCTTGCGATGGCCCGGCCTGTTGAAAGCAAAGCAGCGCCCCTTAAACGACGCGGCAGCTGCATTCGTCGCAGCAGCGTGTACAGTGGCGTGTTCGATCGGTCCCCGAGAACGATGTCCATAGTAGGACCCCGGTCTCGGACGGCGTAAAATGTCGATTTTCTCGGCGAGCGCGAGAATCTCGTTGAAGTGCGAGAGCCCGCGTAGCATGATTTCGTGCGATATGTCCGGCTTCAGCCCTCCGACGTAACGGTCCACCCGCTCCGCTTCGTGCATGTAGCCGACTTGCTCGCATAATGCGAGAAAACCACTCGTATAGTCTTGAACCAATCCAAGCTGCCGACAAGTGCGCAATCTCTGACGCGCCAAAATAGAAGCCACGATCGGCTCGAAGCGTGCCCGAAGCCCTACGCACCATGCATCCCACGTGCTGTATTGGGCGGTCTCGCAGAATGAACTCCAGGTGACAGCTGGGCCCGTCGGCCCTTCCTCTTGCGACGGTGGCTCATAGCCGCGTGGCGACGTCACGATGACTCGCCACCAGTCCATGGCGGGGCCCCTTAGCAGCGAAACGGCATACCGAATTTTCGCTGCGTCCGACTCGACGTAATTCGCGTCGAAGAAGACGTTCATCGTGAAGACCCACGATTGACCCGTCAGACCTCCACACTGGCTCGGGTCGAAGCAGGGCGGGCGTTGCGGCTTGAGTGGCATTGGTGCCATAATGGCGTGGTCGCCACTTGTCGCCGCAAACTCCACGTGTCGATGGGCTTCGCGAGGCTCCCGCGGGCTTGGTGCAACCCTGTTTCCTCCCATGCTAGGCATCGGCTGGGCGGCGCCATCGCTGGCTACGCCTGAGCGCTGTCCCACGCTGGTGTTTTGTGTTGGTGTGCCGGACGAGATGACGATCGGCTCGTCTGATTGTGCAGATGCATTTGTCGGTGCGTGTGGTGGCGCTAGAGTGTGCATCGTTGATTGCTGACGCGCGGAGTCACGTTCCGCCGTGAGCGTCGCAATTTCGAGCGCCGAATCTTCAAGTTGGCGCACCAGTCGGTCGAGCTGCTCCTGCGTCAATGTGGCAAGCGTGAATTCGGCCATGGCAGGGGTGTCGGACGAGCTCAGCGAGAGCCTCGGTCGTGGCCGTGCGTGCTTACGAGAGAGCACTACGAGCGGCAGTGCTGTGTCGCTGAGAGACGTCTACCCCCCCAAAAAATTGAGATAGTGGGGAAGCGAATGTGTGGGTGCGGTCCGAGAGGAGATCGTAGGCTCTGAATACCAAGTGTTACGAGTGCAATTGAATGAACGAACGAGAATTGCACTATCGAAGCAAGAGTCCAGTGAGCGAAGGCATGAGTGAAGAATATATAGCGAAACAACTGTGGTAACGGTAATGGACTGTGGTTGTCGCGGGACGGGCCTGGGACTGAGGTTGGGAAAAAGTGTCGAAGCGGAGGCCCGGAGCGCGGGTTACCCGCCGAGCCGTGAGGTCGGGGTGCGATGTGCGAATGTGGCGGGCGGATTGTCGATGCGAGGGTTGCGAGTGGTAACGCTGCTGACTGTGGTGCTACAGTGATGTACGCGTTGAGCATGGATGCGAAGTAAGGAAAAGGAAATTTCCTGACAGTAGTGCATTACTCGCTGGCGTCATTTTGCGCAACATCCACCGTATCCTCTCTACGAAAGATTCGGTATCAGTGTAACAGGTTTAATGCACTGATGAAAGACAGGGGAAACAATCTATAACTCGGATTTCATAAGGGTACAAAAATTCTAACTCTTTATGAGTCAGGGTGAGAAATCCGGGAGCCTGACTGGGTCAGGGTAACCCCAAAAAAAGCGGCCGCCAGTCAGGGCAATCAGGGTATTTTACTCTGACATTTCGGGGCCTGGGCACGACCGCCGACAGAACCAATCATCACGCTGGAGGAGATTTTGAGCCACCGAGTGCGTGACCCACGGGGAGCTCGTCAGATCGAATTTTTGATCCGCTGGAAAGACCGAACACCCACTGAGGACAACTGGGTTCCCCTGGACAGAATTGAGAACCACCCCGTCCTCACAGAGTACCTGCGCAGCCGAAATTTCCGGGATGTACACGCGCTTTCGCAAGGAGGGCCTCCTTAAGGGGGGAGGGGTAGTATGAGGAAAATTCATTTTCCTTACTTCGCGTCCCTGCTCAGTGCGTACACAACTGTTCCTGCCAACAACACCCAACAGTAATCCGTTACCACTCGCGACATTCACCTCGACACTGTTCCCGCCACTGTTCACGACGCGACCCAACCTCACGGTTGGGTTGGTAACCCGCGCTCTGGACCTCCGCCTCGTCATTTCCCAACCTTGGCGCCAGGCCCGTCGCGCACCCCATTTTCACGCATTACTGTTACCACTGTAGTTTCGCTATATATTCTTCGCTCATGCCTTCGCACATTGTACTCTTGCTTCGATAGAGCAATTCTCGTTCACTCAATTGCACTTGTAACAACCTCTGAAAAATGTCTGGAAACCCGTTCCAGTTGTGACAAACATCTCTTGGTTTAGACGACTTTGGTAACGTCCGTGTTTATTCTCGCCGAAACGGCAGGTGAAACCAAAGAGTGGTAAAATTGCTAGACTGACCAAGATATCTGGTTATATTTGAAAGCGCCTTTCCCTCCCACACTATTTGGTGGCCATTATCCAATCGCGACCTTGTACGGTAGTCGTAGTACTAATTCAGTAAGGCATCTCACATCCAGCGTTATTCAGAAGTAAAGCAGAAGATTTCTGAATCGCGTCAGCATGAGTCGCCCTTTTCCCCAATGTGCCGGTGAATTTTCCTTTTCTGGATAGCTTGCCATATCAAGTGGCAGCAATAGCATTTATGCTTCCCGTGTTGTGTTAATACGCGGCCGTACGGCGAGCGATCGTACGTTAATCGGGAGTAATCCTGGCCGTCCGTGCCAAGTCATAGGTCCCCCCTGCCATCCTCCGCGCATCCAATGCCGTCGTTTCCCGCGCTTCTCGCCGCGTTTGTCGCAACAGCGTTGCTAGGAACTCACGTGTTCGCACCGTTGAGCGAACTCTCACGCGCGGCGTTGGACGGATTCCCGTCGAACCATGGCGGGATCGCGGTTGACGCGACTCGGAAGCCCCCGTCAGAACATGGCGGGATCACGCCGTTGGGAGCGGCGTTTCGGAGAATCGCGAAACTGCTATTCTCATCGAGGTAGTCGAGGTTCGCAACTGCGTTTTCAGGTTTTGAGGCGCCTGAAAAGTAGTCTCACGAAACTTCTAACCTCCTCGAGGTAGTTTGGGTCCGCAGCTGTTTTTTTTCAGGAGCCTAAAACGTCCTTTCTGAACCTCTTCAAAAGTTCTTGAAGTGTCGAGCTTTAGGCAGGAGGATTTCACATAACGTTTGCTTTTCTCTTTTTTTCGCAGCTGATAGCTTTCGCCATGCATCGCCATGTTACCGCCATTTCCCCCCGCTTCCCGTCCATTTCCCGCCCCACACCTTCTCGTCCCCCCTTCCACGCCCCTACCCTCTTCCCTCCCTTCCTCGGTTTTCACCCATTCCCCATCTTCCCTATCTCCCCCCTTTTTCCCTGCTTTCCTTCCCTTGTTTTCCCCCACCTGCCTTGCCTTCTTCTACCACCCCCCAAATCCCCCCAAATCCCCCCCCAACCAACCCCCACCCTTTGCCCCTTTCTCCCCGTCCCTTCCTTTTGTCTTCCGCCGCTGCCCCATTCCCTCCCCCCCCCCCCCTTTCCCATTCTCCCTTTGTCCCGAACGTTCCTCCTTCCGTTCATTGCGGGGAAAGGCGGGGGGAGCAGCGGAGGTGCTTAGACGAGCTCCAGAGACTAAGGGAGTGGCGGCAAGGTGAGCAGGTAGCAGGGGTTAAAGGGTTCTGGGTTCAGGGATTTGAGTCCCTTGGTCGTTGCATTCGGTTCTGTATTCTCCTGAGACGTCTGTTCCTTCGTCTGTTCCTTCTTCTGTTCCTTCTTCTGTTCCTTCTTCTGCTCCTTCTTCTGTTCCTTCTTCTGTTCCTTCTTCTGCTCCTTCTTCTGTTCCTTCTTCTGTTCCTTCTTCTGCTCCTTCTTCTGTTCCTTCTTCTGCTCCTTCTTCTGTTCCTTCTTCTGTTCCTTCTTCTGTTCCTTCTTCTGCTCCTTCTTCTGTTCCTTCTTCTGCTCCTTCTTCTGTTCCTTCTTCTGCTCCTTCTTCTGTTCCTTCTTCTGTTCCTTCTTCTGTTCCTTCTTCTGTTCCTTCTTCTGTTCCTTCTTCTGCTCCTTCTTCTGTTCCTTCTTCTGCTCCTTCTTCTGTTCCTTCTTCTGTTCCTTCTTCTGTTCCTTCTTCTGCTCCTTCTTCTGTTCCTTCTTCTGCTCCTTCTTCTGTTCCTTCTTCTGCTCCTTCTTCTGTTCCTTCTTCTGTTCCTTCTTCTGTTCCTTCTTCTGCTCCTTCTTCTGTTCCTTCTTCTGCTCCTTCTTCTGTTCCTTCTTCTGTTCCTTCTTCTGCTCCTTCTTCTCTTCCTTCTTTCCTTCTTCTGTTGTTTCTACTGTCCTTTCTTCTGTTTGTCGTACAACTGACCTCTGCACATGTATCAAATGCATTTTACCCCCATTTTCAGAGCTGGGAGCTGACGCTGCAGCAACTGCCAGCTCAGCTGCGGAATCTTTTCCCTCCACGTCAACTGCCACGTCAGCCTCCGCTACCACCACCATTACCACCACTAGCACCACATTTTCCAAGAACCTGCTGTTACTCCATTCTTCCGGCTCAGAGATTCGAACTCAGACCTCCAACGCCCAACACGCCAAACTGTTGCCACAGTCTGCCAGTGCTGCTGCTGCATCACATATAGGGCCGGTGCTGCCACTGCTAAGTGCACGGCCGCACGCACATGGGGGTGAGCTGAGTGGTTTGCATTCTGCCACTCGTTCCCTGCTCAGTGTAGACGAGAGGAGAAGAGAACAAAAACTTACCATCAGCAGCAGCAGCAGCGGCAGCGGCAGCGGCGACGGCGGCAGCAGAAGAAGAAGAAGCAGCATGCAGAGCCATCTCGACACACCGCTAGCAGCAGCTGCAGCAGAATTAGCCTCTGTGCGCAGGCGGCTGCATCGAGATGGCATCCAGAGGCATCTCGATGCACCCCCAGCAGCAACAACCCCAGCAGCAACAACCCCAGCAGCTGCTGCAGGAGAACTAGCCTCAGTGCGACGGCTGCTGAGTCACACGTACAGAACTCCCAACCTCAACCCAAACGCTGCCTGCGCCGAGAATGAGACGAGCGTTGCCGCCCTCAGGGCCCACTTGTCGGCTAAGGCGGTGCAGCTGAGGGCGAATCAAGTGCAGATCGAAGAAATGCAGGTGAGGGAAACCTCAAACCCCGCGAATTTCTTGAAACGTTGTACTGCCAAATGGCCAACTTTACAACTTGTAACCCCATCCACCCATCAACACACCGTGACGTGAGCCGAGTGAACTACCAGAAGTTTCTGCTGGACTATGCTCTCTCTGTGACCTTAGTAACCCTGTATGTCTGTAACCCTTTGACTCTGTAACCCCACAACCCTGCAGCGCACTGTGGGCCGAGTCAACTACCAGAAATTTCTGCTGGACTATGCTCTCTCAGAGACCATGGTGTGCTCGCGAGCCCAGTCGAAGCGCCTTTTCTTCACCCCGTTAACCTCCTCTATCCCCGTTACCCCGTAACATATCACCTCCCCACCCTGCAGCGCACTGTGAGCCGAGTGAACTACCAGAGGTTCCTGCTGGACTAGGCTCTCTCAGAGACCATGCACTCAACTCAAACCCAATGCTTCCTCTACATCCCAACAATCTCGTAACCCTGTAATCCTGTAACCCCATAACCTGCAGCGCACTGTGGGCCGAGTGAACTACCAGAAATTCCTGCTGGACTATGCTCTCTCAGAGACCACTGTTGACTGGAAAGACCGGCTGCTGCCCCCACAGGTGAGTTGCTGGTTTGTGGGGCATGTGGGGCCATATGGGTGCGGTGGGGCGGGAGCTGTATACGTGTGATGCCGCCTCTCCTGCTAGACTATGCTCTCTCAGAGACCACTGTTTATTGGAACGACCGCCTGTTGCCTGCACAGGTGATTTTTTGGTGGGGCATTGGTAATTTCCCAAGGTGCGTGAGTGTACTATGCTGCTTGAATGGGGGGCATGGCACACTAGTACGGACTCTCCTGCTGGACTATGCTCTCTCAGAGACCACTGTTGACTGGAACAACCGGCTGCTGCCAGCACAGGTGAATCATGGGGCTAGGGGCATGGGGGGGCACGTGGGTGTAGGGCATGGGGGGGCACGTGGGTGTAGGGCATGGGGCATGGGACACAGGGCTTGGTGCATGTGCCATGTGCCATGGGGCATGGTGCATGGGGCATCGGGCATGGGGAATAGGGCGTGGGGCATGGGGCATGGTGCATGGGGCATTGGGCATGGGGCATGAGGCATGGGGCATGATGCTACGCTTTCTTTCTGTGACTTCCAACTTCCAAATGACTGCCATTGACTTTAAATTGACTTTGATTGACTTAGGTTGACTTGTGTAGTTCAGGTGCTCATTTCCTTGTCTGCACTGCATTCTCTGTATTATGGTGGTGGTGTGCTGTGATTTTGTTTGTGGTGTTATGCTATTGGGTGTGGTGGTGATGCGCTGTGTGGTGTGGTATGGTATGGTGTGGTTTGATGGGGTGCTGTGCGGTGTGACTGGCTCTACAGAGGATGGAGGATGCACGTCGTGCTATAGCTAGCTGCACTGCCAATGGCGTTGTTGTCACGTCAAAGAAAGTACAACTCTGGAAGGTGGGTAATGCTTATTATTGTGCTTGCTGCTTGTGCTACCAACTGTCATTCTACCCATTTTCAAGTGCCTTGTACCAGCATGAAAACTGCCAACTGCCATGTACCCGTTTCTAATGGCAATTCAAACAGTTTGCACCTCCCTCCCTCTGCCTTCTCTCCCTCCTCTCCCCGTCCTCCCTCCTCTCTCCTCTTCCCTTCCGCTCTCCACCCTTTCTCCCATCTCTCTCCCCTCTCCTTTCTTCCCTCTTCTCACCCTCCTCTCCCCTATCTCTCCTCCTTCTCCTCTCTCCTCTCTCAAACCTCCGCTCTCATCTCTCCTCTTTCTCCTCTCTCTCCCCTCTCTCCTCTCTCACTTCACTTCTCCCATCACAGCGCTATGCATGCGATGCATCGGACGATGGCATTCACTCCGTCCTCCAGTAGGATCCAAACCGACTGTGCCCTCTTTTTGAGTCGACTCAATTTTGAATCTATTTTTGAGTCGACTAAAAAAATGGCATTTACTCCTTCCTCCAGTACGATCCAAACCGACTGTGCCCTCTTTTTGTGTCGACTCAATTTTGAGTCTATTTTTGAGTCGACTCAAAAAATGGCATTTACTCCTTCCTCCAGTACGATCCAAACCAACTGAGCCTTCCCCCCTGCACTACACCCTTTCCACTCCCCTCCTTCTCCCATCACAGGACTATGCATGCGACGCATCGGACGATGACATTTACTCATTCCTGGAGTACGACCCAAACCGGCTGTGCCCACTGCCCCTTCCCCTGCACTCTCCCCTCTCCTCTCTCCCCTCTCCCTCTACACAGTCTTATGCATGCGACGCATCGGACGATGACATCTACTCCTTTCTTGAGTACGAACCCAACCGGCTGTGCCCCGATAAATGGCTGGCAACCCAGGCGCTTGTATTCACTCCTCTCTCCCCCTCTCTTCGCCTCCTCTCCCCTCTCATCTCCCATCACAGGGCTATGCATGTGATGCATCGGACGATGACATCTACTCCTTTCTCGAGTACGACCCAAACCGGCTGTGCCCAGATGACTGGATGGCCACCCAGGCGCTCATATTCACCCACAACTGCTTCGCGCTGCCCAAACGCCGCTGCATGGCGCGCACCAACCAGAGATGGACTGAGGTACGCTGAATCTGGTCTGAGGTACGTTGAACCTGGACCCAGATACGTTGAATCTGGACTGATTGGCGACTCAGGCGCTCATTCGTATTCGCCCACAACTGCTTCGCGCTGCCCAAACGCCGCTGCATGGCGCGCACCAACCAGAGGTGGACTGAAGTGCGTTAAATCAAGACCGTGTAGACCGAGGTACACTGAATCTGGACATTTAAACCGAGGTACGTTGAATCTGGACTGGATGGCGACTCAGGCGCTCATATTCACCCACAACTGCTTCGCACTGCCCAAACGCCATTGCATGGCCCGCACCAACCAGAGATGGACCGAGGTGCGTTGAATCTGGACTGAGGCATGTTGATGTCGAACCTAGACTGACTGAGGTACGTTGAACCTAGACTGACTGAGGTACGTTGAACCTAGACTGACTGAGGTACGTTGAACCTAGACTGACTGAGGTACGTTGAACCTAGACTGACTGAGGTACGTTGAACCTAGACTGACTGAGGTACGTTGAACCTAGACTGACTGAGGTACGTTGAACCTAGACTGACTGAGGTACGTTGAACCTAGACTGAGGTACGCCCACACAACCCCCTGCTCGCCCGCCTGCTTGCCCGCCTTTCCACCTGCCTGCATCCTCGCCCCCGCAATCCCTCCCAGCCCCTGCCCTTCCCAGCAGTGCTGTTCACCCAGGGAGCACTAAAGGACGAGAACGTGCGGCGGAGCTTGCACTCGTGCAATTCGTTTACGTGCCTCAACGCGCGTGTGGTGGGGGACTGTCTGTCTCTCTGATACCACCCCCATCCCCCCCCAACCACCTGCTTGGCCCCATGCCTCCTCCCAACCCCTGCTCTTCCCAGCGGATCTCTTCACTCAGGCTGCACTAAAGGACGAGAACGTGCGGTGGAGCCTGCATTCGTGTAAGTCGTTCTCCTCTGCCGCTACTACCAATGTGACTGACAGACTCTCCTCTCCTTGCTTGCGCCCCTCCCTTCTCCCCCAGCCCCTCCCCTTCCCTGCAGCACTGTTCATGCAGGGAGCACTAAAGGACGAGAATGTGCGGTGTAATTTACACTCGTGCAAGTCGTTCACGTGCCTCAACACGCGCATGGTAGGGTGATCGTGGACTGACCCCCTTTCTGAGAACTCCCACTCCCCCAACCACCTGCTTGCCCCCCTTCCCACCTGCCTGCATCTTTGCCCCGCATCCCCACCCAGCCCCTGCCCTTCCCAGCAGCACTGTTCACTCAGTCTGCACTAAAGGACGAAAACGTTCGGTGGAGCCTGCACTCGTGCAAGTCGTTCACGTGCCTCAACACGCGCGTGGTGGGGGACTGCCGCAACTGCTTCAACCTCACGCTGGAGAAGAACCGATGGCAGCGCGGCTTCAGAGGGTCGCTGCCCATTCCCGCCGTCATCAAGATGAAGCGAGGGTCGTTGAGGTGAGAGGGGATTGGGTCGACTGCTGCAAAGCCGGATAAGTAAGGAGCGGCAGATGGCAGCGCGGGTTCAGAGGGTCGCTGCCTGTTCCCGTCGTTATCAAGATGAAGCGCGGGTCGTTGAGGTGAGGGTGACGAAGGTCCCAACTGCCAAGGTCCGTCACGATAAAAGCAAGCTGCCTTGGCCCTGCCTAGATGGGGGACTGTCACAGCCGCTTCAACTTCAACTTCGCGTAGAAGCAAGCTGCTTTGTCCACTTATGAGGCGCCTCAAAAGTGGGGTCGTTGAGGTGAGAGTGACAAGAGTCCAGTAGAAGCGAGCTGCCTTGTCCTTGTTTGGGCGGAAATATCACACTCCAAAAAAAAACCACGCCAATCACTCCTCAAGCCTGTTTTCTCCTCCCTGCACACTCCCTCCTGCAGGCTCGGGCTAGACGCGGGACGAGGCACGGGGACGTTTGCTGCTCATATGGTGCTATACAACGTGACGATTCTCACGACGGCGATTAATGTAGATGGCTAGATGCGATGACTGCGTTGCAGTGCAGTGACTGTCTACTCCTCCCTTCTCCCCACCTGTAGGGTTGGGCTAGATGCGGGAGGAGGCACGGGGATGTTTGCAGCGAACATGGCGCTATACAACGTGACGATTCTCACGACGGCGATTAATGTAGATGGCTAGATGCGATGACTGCGTTGCAGTGCAGTGACTGTCTACTCCTCCCTTCTCCCCAGCCGCAGGCTCGGGCTAGACGCGGGAGGAGGCACGGGGACGTTTGCAGCGCACATGGCGCTATACAACGTGACGATTCTCACGACGGCAATTAATGTAGATGGCTAGATGCGATGACTGCGTTGCAGTGCAGTGACTGTCTACTCCTCCCTTCTCCCCACCCGCAGGCTCGGGCTAGACGCGGGAGGAGGCACGGGGACGTTTGCAGCGCACATGGCGCTATACAACGTGACGATTCTCACGACGGCAATTAATGTAGATGGCTAGATGCGATGACTGCGTTGCAGTGCAGTGACTGTCTACTCCTCCCTTCTCCGCACCCGCAGGCTCGGGCTAGACGCGGGAGGAGGCACGGGGACGTTTGCAGCGCACATGGCGCTATACAACGTGACGATTCTCACGACGGCGATTAATGTAGATGGCTAGATGCGATGACTGCGTTGCAGTGCAGTGACTGTCTACTCCTCCCTTCTCCCCACCCGCAGGCTCGGGCTAGACGCGGTAGGAGGCACGGGGACGTTTGCAGCGCACATGGCGCTATACAACGTGACGATTCTCACGACGGCGATTAATGTAGATGGCTAGATGCGATGACAGCGTTGCAGTGCAGTGACTGTCTACTCCTCCCTTCTCCCCACCTGTAGGGTGGGGCTAGATGCGGGAGGAGGCACGGGGACGTTTGCAGCGAACATGGCGCTATACAACGTGACGATTCTCACGACGGCGATTAATGTAGATGGCTAGATGCGATGACTGCGTTGCAGTGCAGTGACTGTCTACTCCTCCCTTTTCCCCACCCGCAGGCTCGGGCTAGACGCGGGAGGAGGCACGGGGACGTTTGCAGCGCACATGGCGCTATACAACGTGACGATTCTCACGACGGCAATTAATGTAGATGGCTAGATGCGATGACTGCGTTGTAGTGCAGTGACTGTCTACTCCTCCCTTCTCCGCACCCGCAGGCTCGGGCTAGACGCCGGAGGAGGCACGGGGACGTTTGCAGCGCACATGGCGCTATACAACGTGACGATTCTCACGACGGCGATTAATGTAGATGGCTAGATGCGATGACTGCGTTGCAGTGCAGTGACTGTCTACTCCTCCCTTCTCCCCACCCGCAGGCTCGGGCTAGACGCGGTAGGAGGCACGGGGACGTTTGCAGCGCACATGGCGCTATACAACGTGACGATTCTCACGACGGCGATTAATGTAGATGGCTAGATGCGATGACAGCGTTGCAGTGCAGTGACTGTCTACTCCTCCCTTCTCCCCACCTGTAGGGTGGGGCTAGATGCGGGAGGAGGCACGGGGACGTTTGCAGCGAACATGGCGCTATACAACGTGACGATTCTCACGACGGCGATTAATGTAGATGGCTAGATGCGATGACTGCGTTGCAGTGCAGTGACTGTCTACTCCTCCCTTCTCCCCACCTGTAGGGTGGGGCTAGATGCGGGAGGAGGCACGGGGACGTTTGCAGCGAACATGGCGCTATACAACGTGACGATTCTCACGACGGCAATTAATGTAGATGGCTAGATGCGATGACTGCGTTGTAGTGCAGTGACTGTCTACTCCTCCCTTCTCCGCACCCGCAGGCTCGGGCTAGACGCGGGAGGAGGCACGGGGACGTTTGCAGCGCACATGGCGCTATACAACGTGACGATTCTCACGACGGCGATTAATGTAGATGGCTAGATGCGATGACTGCGTTGCAGTGCAGTGACTGTCTACTCCTCCCTTCTCCCCACCCGCAGGCTCGGGCTAGACGCGGGAGGAGGCACGGGGACGTTTGCAGCGCACATGGCGCTATACAACGTGACGATTCTCACGACGGCAATTAATGTAGATGGCTAGATGCGATGACTGCGTTGCAGTGCAGTGACTGTCTACTCCTCCCTTCTCCGCACCCGCAGGCTCGGGCTAGACGCGGGAGGAGGCACGGGGACGTTTGCAGCGCACATGGCGCTATACAACGTGACGATTCTCACGACGGCGATTAATGTAGATGGCTAGATGCGATGACTGCGTTGCAGTGCAGTGACTGTCTACTCCTCCCTTCTCCCCACCCGCAGGCTCGGGCTAGACGCGGTAGGAGGCACGGGGACGTTTGCAGCGCACATGGCGCTATACAACGTGACGATTCTCACGACGGCGATTAATGTAGATGGCTAGATGCGATGACAGCGTTGCAGTGCAGTGACTGTCTACTCCTCCCTTCTCCCCACCTGTAGGGTGGGGCTAGATGCGGGAGGAGGCACGGGGACGTTTGCAGCGAACATGGCGCTATACAACGTGACGATTCTCACGACGGCGATTAATGTAGATGGCTAGATGCGATGACTGCGTTGCAGTGCAGTGACTGTCTACTCCTCCCTTCTCCCCACCCGCAGGCTCGGGCTAGACGCGGGAGGAGGCACGGGGACGTTTGCAGCGCACATGGCGCTATACAACGTGACGATTCTCACGACGGCAATTAATGTAGATGGCTAGATGCGATGACTGCGTTGTAGTGCAGTGACTGTCTACTCCTCCCTTCTCCGCACCCGCAGGCTCGGGCTAGACGCGGGAGGAGGCACGGGGACGTTTGCAGCGCACATGGCGCTATACAACGTGACGATTCTCACGACGGCGATTAATGTAGATGGCTAGATGCGATGACTGCGTTGCAGTGCAGTGACTGTCTACTCCTCCCTTCTCCCCACCCGCAGGCTCGGGCTAGACGCGGTAGGAGGCACGGGGACGTTTGCAGCGCACATGGCGCTATACAACGTGACGATTCTCACGACGGCGATTAATGTAGATGGCTAGATGCGATGACAGCGTTGCAGTGCAGTGACTGTCTACTCCTCCCTTCTCCCCACCTGTAGGGTGGGGCTAGATGCGGGAGGAGGCACGGGGACGTTTGCAGCGAACATGGCGCTATACAACGTGACGATTCTCACGACGGCGATTAATGTAGATGGCTAGATGCGATGACTGCGTTGCAGTGCAGTGACTGTCTACTCCTCCCTTCTCCCCACCTGTAGGGTGGGGCTAGATGCGGGAGGAGGCACGGGGACGTTTGCAGCGAACATGGCGCTATACAACGTGACGATTCTCACGACGGCAATTAATGTAGATGGCTAGATGCGATGACTGCGTTGTAGTGCAGTGACTGTCTACTCCTCCCTTCTCCGCACCCGCAGGCTCGGGCTAGACGCGGGAGGAGGCACGGGGACGTTTGCAGCGCACATGGCGCTATACAACGTGACGATTCTCACGACGGCGATTAATGTAGATGGCTAGATGCGATGACTGCGTTGCAGTGCAGTGACTGTCTACTCCTCCCTTCTCCCCACCCGCAGGCTCGGGCTAGACGCGGGAGGAGGCACGGGGACGTTTGCAGCGCACATGGCGCTATACAACGTGACGATTCTCACGACGGCGATTAATGTAGATGGCTAGATGCGATGACTGCGTTGCAGTGCAGTGACTGTCTACTCCTCCCTTCTCCCCACCCGCAGGCTCGGGCTAGACGCGGTAGGAGGCACGGGGACGTTTGCAGCGCACATGGCGCTATACAACGTGACGATTCTCACGACGGCGATTAATGTAGATGGCTAGATGCGATGACAGCGTTGCAGTGCAGTGACTGTCTACTCCTCCCTTCTCCCCACCTGTAGGGTGGGGCTAGATGCAGGAGGAGGCACGGGGACGTTTGCAGCGAACATGGCGCTATACAACGTGACGATTCTCACGACGGCGATTAATGTAGATGGCTAGATGCGATGACTGCGTTGCAGTGCAGTGACTGTCTACTCCTCCCTTCTCCCCACCCGCAGGCTCGGGCTAGACGCGGGAGGAGGCACGGGGACGTTTGCAGCGCACATGGCGCTATACAACGTGACGATTCTCACGACGGCAATTAATGTAGATGGCTAGATGCGATGACTGCGTTGTAGTGCAGTGACTGTCTACTCCTCCCTTCTCCGCACCCGCAGGCTCGGGCTAGACGCGGGAGGAGGCACGGGGACGTTTGCAGCGCACATGGCGCTATACAACGTGACGATTCTCACGACGGCGATTAATGTAGATGGCTAGATGCGATGACTGCGTTGCAGTGCAGTGACTGTCTACTCCTCCCTTCTCCCCACCCGCAGGCTCGGGCTAGACGCGGGAGGAGGCACGGGGACGTTTGCAGCGCACATGGCGCTATACAACGTGACGATTCTCACGACGGCGATTAATGTAGATGGCTAGATGCGATGACTGCGTTGCAGTGCAGTGACTGTCTACTCCTCCCTTCTCCCCACCCGCAGGCTCGGGCTAGACGCGGGAGGAGGCACGGGGACGTTTGCAGCGCACATGGCGCTATACAACGTGACGATTCTCACGACAGCCATGAATGTGGAGACAGTGGCAGGGCGCACAGGCGGACTGCCTTACATGGAGACCCTCGCTCACCGGGGGCTTATCCCCCTCTGGTTACCACACAAGGTAGTGTGCGTGTGTGGTTACCACACAAGGTAGTGTGCGTGTGTCGTTACCACACAAGGTAGTGTGCGTGTGTGGTTACCACACAAGGTAGTGTGTGAGTGTGAGTGGGGTGGGGTGCAAGCAAGGCACATGGAATTATACAACGTGACGATTACCACACAAGGCAACGTTCTAATGGTTACCACACATGGCAGTGTGCTAATGGTTACCACAGATGGCAGTGTGCTAATGGTTACCACACATGGCAGTGTGCTAATGGTTACCACCCATGGCAGTGTGCTAATGGTTACCACCCATGGCAGTGTGCTAATGGTTACCACCCATGGCAGTGTGCTAATGGTTACCACACAAGGTAGTGTGCTAATGGTTACCACACAAGGTAGTGTGCTAATGGTTACCACACAAGGTAGTGTGCTAATGGTTACCACACAAGGTAGTGTGTGCTAATGGTTACCACACATGGCAGTGTGCTAATGGTTACCACACAAGGTAGTGTCCTAATGGTTACCACACATGGCAGTGTGCTAATGGTTACCACACATGGCAGTGTGCTAATGGTTACCACACAAGGTAGTGTGCTAATGGTTACCACACAAGGTAGTGTGCTAATGGTTACCACACAAGGTAGTGCGCTAATGGTTACCACACAAGGTAGTGTGCTAATGGTTATCACACAAGGTAGTGTGCTAATGGTTACCACACAAGGTAGTGTGCTAATGGTTACCACACATGGCAGTGTGCTAATGGTTACCACACATGGCAGTGTGCTAATGGTTACCACACATGGCAGTGTGCTAATGGTTACCACACAAGGTAGTGTGCTAATGGTTACCACACAAGGTAGTGTGCTATTGGTTACCACACAAGGTAGTGCGCTAATGGTTACCACACAAGGTAGTGTGCTAATGGTTACCACACAAGGTAGTGTGCTAATGGTTACCACACAAGGTAGTGTGCGAATGGTTACCACACATGGCAGTGTGCTAATGGTTACCACACATGGCAGTGTGCTAATGGTTACCACACATGGCAGTGTGCTAATGGTTACCACACATGGCAGTGTGCTAATGGTTACCGCACATGGCAGTGTGCTAATGGTTACCACACATGGCAGTGTGCTAATGGTTACCACAGATGGCAGTGTGCTAATGGTTACCACACAAGGTAGTGTGCTAATGGTTACCACACAAGGTAGTGTGCTAATGGTTACCACACAAGGTAGTGTACTAATGGTTACCACACAAGGTAGTGTGCTAATGGTTACCACACAAGGCAGTGTGCTAATGGTTGCCACACAAGGTAGTGTGCTAATGGTTACCACACATGGCAGTGTGCTAATGGTTACCACACAAGGTAGTGTGCTAATGGTTACCACACATGGCATTGTGCTAATGGTTACCACACAAGGTAGTGTGCTAATGGTTACCACACAAGGTAGTGTGCTAATGGTTGCCACACATGGCAGTGTGGTAATGGTTACCACACAAGGTAGTGTGCTAATGGTTACCACACAAGGTAGTGTGCTAATGGTTACCACACAAGGTAGTGTGAGTGATTCTCTGTATGCATGGCATGCTTGCCTCTCGTTGGCATCGCTCTGGCATCAGTTGCATCAAGTATCGCCCCTCTGTTGACACGTGGTCTCTTGCGATTTCCCTCTCTCCCCACCCTGTCACTCATGCAGGCGCGCTTGCCCCTCGTTGACAGCACGCTAGACCTGGTTCACTGCGTCAACAGCATCAAGTATCTCCCGGTGTTGACACGTGCATTCTGTCTACAGCAACCAGTATCCCTTCGATTGTCTCCCCGCCCATTCCCCCGCACAGGCGCGCTTGCCTCTCTTTGATAAAATGTTAGATCTCGTGCACTGTGTCAACAGCATCAAGTACCTCCCTGTGTTTATACCGGTGCTCTCTCCCTCCTCCCTCTTCCCACACCCCCCACCCCTTTCCCACACAGGCGCGCTTACCGCTCTTCGACAACACACTAGATCTCGTGCATTGCGTCAACAGCATCAAGTATCTCCCTGTGTTGGAATTTGAGGAGCTAATCTTCGAATGGGACAGGGTGCTTCGAGTCGGTGAGTGAGGAAGTGTATTTGTATGTGTGCGTGTGTGTGTGTGTGTGCGCGCGCGCGCGCACGTGCGTGTGCGCGTGTGCGTGTGTGCATGTGCGTGTGCGCGTGTGTGTGTGTGCATGTGCGTGTGCGCGTGTGCGTGTGTGCACGTGCGTGTGCGCGTGTGCGTGTGTGCATGTGCGTGTGCGCGTGTGCATGTGCGTGTGCGTGTGTGCATGTGTGCATGTGCGTGTGCGCGTGTGCGTGTGTGCATGTGCGTGTGCGCGTGTGCATGTGCGTGTGCGTGTGTGCATGTGTGCATGTGCGTGTGCGCGTGTGCATGTGTGCATGTGCGTGTGCGCGTGTGCGTGTGTGCATGTGCGTGTGCGCGTGTGCGTGTGCGTGTGCGTGTGTGCACGTGCGTGTGCGCGTGTGCGTGTGTGCATGTGCGTGTGCGCGTGTGCATGTGCGTGTGCGTGTGTGCATGTGTGCATGTGCGTGTGCGCGTGTGCGTGTGTGCATGTGCGTGTGCGCGTGTGCATGTGCGTGTGCGCGTGTGCATGTGTGCATGTGCGTGTGCGCGTGTGCGTGTGTGCATGTGCGTGTGCGTGTGTGCATGTGCGTGTGCGCGTGTGCGTGTGTGCATGTGCGTGTGCGCGTGTGTGCGAATGCATGTGTGCGTTAACAACACCAGATTCTCCCGGTGTTGGAATTTGAGGAGCTCATTTTCGAATGGGGCAGGATGCTTCGAGTCAGTGAGTGGAAATGTGTATGTACATGCGTGTGCGTGCGCGCGTGTGCATGCACTGTGTCAATAACATCAAGTACCTCCCTGTGCTGGAATTTGAAGAGCTCATCTCCCTTTTACTGTACAGAATTTCCCCTCTTGTAAAAAATAGCTCTTATTTGGTATTTCAAAAATTTCAATGCACTGCACTGAATTTTTGCAAAGTTTTGACTCTCCCACTTGCCAACCCATCCCATTGAACTGCAGGTGGAGTCATGTGGTTTGAAATGTTCTACGCGCCTCTTGATGAGATGCCACTCTATATTGCAATAATCGAGCAGCTACACTACAAGAAGCTGCATTGGAACATTACTCCCAAGCCCGACAGTGGCGAGCGGAAGGGCATGCATGTTTATTTGAACTGTGTAATTGAGAAACACGTGCGCAAAGACAGATAAGGCTGTGAAGTCAAACCCCTTTCGTCCAACCTTCTCGTCATCTCGCTTCCGCTTGTTCCTAGCCGAAGTTTTTCCTAGATTTATGTTAAGTTGATCTCTTGACATGGTATCAGAGTTAAGTGTTCGTTCGCCTGCCTGCTCTATTTTTCTTTTCTAATGGCGCTCGTCACGCTTCCCACGTTTGTGGCTCCAGCTGCCCCTTTGCAGCACTGGTGTTCGCCACGGACAAAATGCCAAATTTCCACCCATACGCAGCTCACAACTTGCCCCGTCCCCGACTTGCCCCGTCCCGCGCTGCCCTGCCCCCTGTCCCGTTACGAACAGCAGCAGCCGCACACGTAATCGCGCACGCTGCCCCATGCAATGCCCCGCCCCCATTACGAGCAGCAGCAGTCGCGCGCGCGGCCGTACGCGCAGCCCTACGCGCTGCCCCGCTTCCGTCCCGATCCGTTCAGCAGCTGCTGCTGCGCGCGCATCTGCAGCTAGAGCGCGCGCACGCCTGCACAAGCGCTGCTCCCCGCGCACTGCGCACGCGCCCCTGCCTCCGGCAGCGGCTCGGCAATGGAGGCGGCATGCCCGTGCCTCACCCACCGCCCTGTCACGCCCCACCCGCGGCATTAGCTGTGGGGGGGGAGGTGGCAGGGCTGGAGGCCGTCAAAACAGGGGTGCTGAAGCCCCCCCTCCCCCCCCCCCCTCTCCCTTATCCTCCTCCTCATCACTGCCCGTGCATCTGCAATGTGTGCTGGGGGGGGAAAGGGGGGGGGGGGGGGGGGGGGGGGCGAGAGGGTGTGGGGGTGGCGGGTGTATGAAGGCAGCAGCCCCTCCCTCTCTTTCTTCCGCTGCACTTCCTCTTCCCGCTCTTCCTCCTCCTCTCATCTCCTCCTCACGCCCTGCCTACTTGTCTTTCGTTCTCTCGTTCCTTCGTGTTGCTGCTGCTGCTGCCTGTTGCTGGCTCGCCCCCAGAGGTGCTGAGCCGTGCTGTCTTGCTGCTCGTAGCAGCCACGTCGCCTGCACTCTCGCCCACCGACCGTCGCCTGCACCCGCCACTGCTGCTCTCTCTGTCGATGTACCTCTACAGGGGGTGTTGCTGCACATGGTCATCCACTGCATGCAATTAGGGGGTGTGTTCGACTATAACTATATGCAGTATAGACTCTAGTGCATGTAATCCTTGTTGGAAATGTACAGTTCGCGCTTCTGATGTGTCGAGCACTACAACGAAAGCGAAGCGAACTAAAGCGAAGCAACGGCGAGTCAACCAAAGCGGTTGACAGAAAGACAACAGCAAGAAGTTAAGTGAAGGTCAAAGGTTAGGGACCTTTGACTCGCCGAAGGCAGCACAACAGCAAGGACACATAACTGACTCGATAATGAGCAGTTACCCGAGTCGTCGCTGTATCGAACCGCAACAGTAGTTACAGTTAGTTAAACCTTTCGTATTCCTTGTAATAATATAAAAGCTTGTATCTCTTTGTTAGTATCAACTTATCTTGTTCTCACATACCAGTGCAAGGTGGTTCAATCAGCTTACTAATACGCTTCCACCAATACATCACTACCCTAAGTCTTCAGTCTTGAAAACGATCCTAAGGGCTTTCTCAGCCCAACATGGTATGAGAGCAGTCAAGGCAAAAGAAAACTATGTTCAAGCTCCTACAACAACAGAAGGCACAGCTACGCAGAAAGAGAGAAGCTCGTCTGCTGAATCTCCAAGTAACACTCCTAATCCACCACCAGCCTGTGGACTACAGACAGAAAGAAGCACAACCCAAGGACCAGCAGCTGAGCCTACTGAAACTCCAGTGAGTCAAGCTACCGGCTTCGACCCAAGCATGATGGAGAAGTTCTTCTCCTTCATGTCGTTCTACGAGCAACACCAACAAGCAGCACCTGCGCAGTCAAACAACATCGACAACAACAACAGAGTCACTCCCATGAGCCTTAACGGTTCATCATATGCGCACAGAAATCAGCAACCTACCTTCGCACTGTATGAGCCTCAATGCGGCTCTGTCAGCTTCATGCCAAATCGACTCCCACCTAGACAAGAAACACACTGGACGCACTTCAGCTGCAGTCGCAGTTTGCACACATCCTGAAACTACAAACGTCAACACTATTCGACGACAATGGCTTTTATACCTGGTCTTTTGAGTTCAAGCTGATGATGGAGGGCGCTCAAATCCTTGGCTTCTTCGACGGTTCCCTGCCATACCCAACACACGGAACGCAGTACGACAAGCAGCAGTACACGTATCAGTCACTAATGGCGTACACCATACTCCTGCGCAACATAATTGCAAATGAGTAGCAGAATATCCGATCTTATCGCGGATACGGCAACTCCGCCGAGCTCGCATACAACCATCTGAAGAACGTGTATCAAGCATCCAACAGTGTTAATCGGAGTCATCTCATGGCACAATTGACAACGGTGCAAATGCAACCCGGTGAAAAAGGAATGGCATATATCAGTCGCTGCCGTGGTCTGCGCGATAGACTTCTTCGATGCGGCGGATCAAGCGTTCGTCACAGTCGTCATCACTGGTCTCGGCCCTCAGTGGCGCTCCACTCGAGCCATTCTCCGAGCCGACGGAAGAATCTCCAAAGCAGCCCTCTGCGCTGAAATCCACGCCGAGCAACAAGACATGAACCTGCACGAAGAACGTTACAAGAGAAAGGCATTAGTACCGAAGTTCGCATTTCACACTCAGCGGCGCAACAACAACAACAACCGACAAAACGAGCACCAAGCACGAAGATACGTACCACCGTTCTGTCACCTCTGTAAAACGTCAGGGCACTCTCGCGTCCACTGCCCAAATCAATAGCAATCATCACCATCACCACGTCAGCTTCGACCTTCAAGTAGCCAAGTGGCTTCCACACAACAGCATCCTTCCAACCAGGCGTCGTCTTCAACGACAACATCACAACCTGCAAGAGGAACAAGAAATATCATAAGTTGCAAGACAAGAACAACGGACTCCTGCATCACCAGTTCACCACCGACCTACTCACCCGAAGAACAGCTCGACGAAAGCACGCCTCGTCGCGAATCACTGGAGCCGAATCCGACGTACACAGCCATCGCCCAAAGCGAACCATCCGGGAAAGACACCTGATTCTTGGATAGCTGCTGCGGACAACATATGTGCCTTTTGGGTCGATTTGTTTAATGGGAACAACGCCTCAATCGCAAAGTTGTAATCGCCGTCGCCAACAACCAGAACCTGCACACACGACGACAACTTCAATCCTGCAAAACTAACGTTATTCTACAGATGTCAAAAGTTTTGATTGCAGAAGGACTAGGTTACAACTTACTCAGCGTCAGTCAACTCATGGCGAAGGGAATCCACCTCGAAGCCGACAGCACCACTCTGGAGTTTAAGCTATACAATGGCAAGGGCGGACTTTACATCGGAAGAGTGGTCCTGAAGAAAAACGTCTTCGCCCTTGACTTCGTCCCGGATCAAGGCACCGCTGACAGCGACGCGATTGTTTGGTCGCACCCACCAGACCTCGACCCCGACTTCAGACACGGAAGATTCTGGTACTCGCACACCATACCTGAAGCAGAACGAACAAGGGCATTAGCGGTGATCCAAGAGACATGGGGAGAAGCATCAACATCAGCAGCAGCAGAGACCGCAGCAGCGGAGACATCGGCAGAAGCTGTGGCAACAGCAGCAGCAGCGACAACAGGAGCAGCAGCGGCATCATCGGCAGAAATAGAGACAACGACACCAGCACCAATGGCCACTCAGCAGCTGACTCCCACCCCACGCAACGTTCACCGGAGCGCCAACATCACTGCCGGTTTTTACTCCAACTCCGATCTGTACAGACGTTCAAAGGACATCGCGCTGACGAATCGCTATGGCATCAAAGGTTACAGCATCCTAGCAACACAACACTGAACAACACGATAAGAGCAGGAGTGCTCGATAAAGACTCACTACTCCTACCCAACGGCAGGGAACTTCAACGAGTCCGCGGAACTTGCTTTACCTGCCCCGAAGCTGACTTACCCCATCAACCTGTCAAACATATATGATATAGCATGTGTAGGCTATAGTGGGGTAGACATTATGGGGTACAACTTTTCTAGGTTTTCATACTTGTACCCATCTCCTTTCTAGTCCACACCATTCCTCGTACTATTCTCACATGGTATAGAGCAGGTTCCCTAGTGGGACCGTTTTTTTTAAAGGGCCCACCAATTAATATTTTTTTTTCCCTGCCCTGCCCAAAGCGCTCTCCTTGTCCTGTTGCGCGCCTCGTGCCTGCCTCACCTGCGCCCCGTGCGCCTGCCCTGCTATCGCGGCCCCTGCCGTCGCGGCCCCTGCCGTCGCGGCCCCTGCCGTCGCGGCCCCTGCCGCCGCGGCCCCTGCTGTCACGACCCTGCCTGGTGCCGTTGCGGCCCCTACCGTCGCGGCCCCTGCCATCGCAGCCCCTGCCATCGCGGCCCCTGCCATCGCGGCACCTGCAGACGCGGCCCCTGCCGTCGCGGCCCTTGCAGTCCCGGCCCCTGCCGTCCCGGCCCCTGCCGCCGCGGCCCCTGCCGTCGCGGCCTTGCCTGACGCCGTCGCGGCCCTGCCTCCCTATCGTCGCGGCCCTGCCTCGGGCTGTAGCGGCCCTGCCCGGCCGCCGTCGTGGCCCTGTTCTGTTGAGTTCGCGGCCCTGCCTGCAGCTGCCGCGGCCCTTCCTACAGCCGCAGTCGCGGCCCTGCCTACTGCCACTGTTGGCGGCCCTACCCTGCGCCCGCACCGCCGACCTGCACCCCTGCCTGACGCGGCCCTGACCTGCCAGTGCGCCACGGCCCTGCCCTTCTAGTTGCGGCCCTACCTCGATCCTGCCCTGGTAAGCGCGCCGCCGCATCCGCGCTGCCCTTGCGAGCCGCGCCGCCCTGCCGAGTCGCGCTGCTCCCGCTGCTACTGATGCTGCTGCTGCTGCTAGGCTACTGCTGCTGTTGCTAGGCTACTGCTGCTGCTCCT